TAACATATTTGAAATATTTAGAGATACTTCTAGAAACCATTCTTTTGAGGAAATGAGAGACTATATAGTGTGGGTCTTTTAAATGCTATGTAAATATTAGCTTTTAATCATGTTACTATAGTGGGTTTATCAAGATGCTACCAATTTACCTTTGGAGACTTTATAATTAGTAAACAAATTTTTATTTGTAAGTTATTTTATTAAAGATTTTTGTAGGTCTTCAATCACTTATAATTCATTACTAACATCTCTTCCTCTAATTTTTAAAGGCTTCTATACCAAAGTTTTAAGGGAGAGATAATAAAAACTCAGGAATTCCCACATATTCTCATACTCATTGGCAGAAACCCAGTGGGTTATCCATTGGCCTGGAAGTTTCTGAGGGAAAATTGGAATAAGCTCGTACAGAAGTAAGTAGTATCAAAAATTGCAGTGGGATTGGATGCATTTTTACCACACCCCTCTGCCTGTGTGTTTAACCTTTGCTATTTATATGAAGGAGTATCTGATGTTGAAGGTTACTTTTCAAATTATTATTTAAAATTTTAGTCCACTGCTAACCCTTGCATCTGGATAGCAATGCTTTCCATCCTATCTGCTTCTTGCTATTGGCTTGCCTGAAACCTTCCTCCTCCAAGATCAGTATAGCTCTCCCCTAATTAATTCAGCCCTGTGTACAGCTGTCATTTGTTTTAGGTTCTTAGTCTTTTACTTAGTTATTGGTATGAATTGTATTTTTACAAATAGATTCTTTAAATGTTATAGGATATATAAGATACTTAAAATATATATTGAATGGACACCTTTTGACATTTTCTAGGTTTGAACTTGGCTCATCATCCATAGCTTACATGGTAATGGGAACAACAGACCAATTTTCTACCAGAGCACGTCTTGAAGAGGTAAAGGGCTGTGTGTGTGGGAGAGAAATTCTCTCTTTTAAACTCGAGTGGCAGTTAGTTACTAAATATGGGCAGGAACAAAAGCTGTGGCACACTGAGAACGAATCTTGTTATTTGGATGCAAATTTTGTGTTCCAATGTATATGTCTCTCATGTAACAAGCTTTGCTCTGCAATTAAAAACTTGGATTTTAGCCAGGCAGTGGTGGTGCACGTCTTTAATCCCAGCACTTGGGAAGTAGAGGTAGGGAGATTTCTATTTCAAGGCCAGCCTGGTCTACATGGAGTGAGTTCCAGGACAGCCAAGATTATACATAGAAATCATGTCTTGAAAAACAAAAACAAAAATAAAACAAAACAAAAAACAAACAAAACAAAACAAAAAAAAACTTGGATTTTGCCAGGTGTGATGACATGTTTTAAATCTAAGGGCTCTTGAGGCAGCAGCAGGCAGATACCTGTGAGTTAAAGGCCAACTTGGTCTACAAAGCAAGGTTCAGGCTAGTCAATATTATATAGTAACACCCTGTCTCAAAAACAAAAACAAATGAGCAAAACAAAACAACAACAAAGAAACAACAAAAACCTTCACTTAAAATAAAACAACACAATTGGTCCTCATTTAAAGATATTAAAAAGTGAATGCTAGAGGTTCGAACATCAGCCATAGTGGAAGAGGCAGAGAGGGCCAAGGTGCTTCAGTATCCAAAGCCATGTTTCTCTTCTCACTTATAATATTCTATACTTTATGATTTTTTGGGAATCTGTAAAATCCATCTGTAAAATAAATATTAAAGAATGAAAACTGTATAGAAGATAGGAGCTACAAGGACCTAAACTGAAAAATACAATGACATTGAACAGTTATCGAGTTCTTAGTGCTCAGGCAAAAATAAGAAATTGCTATGAAACTGTCTGGTAAGAGGGAACATGAGACAAACATATATTCTACAAAAGGAAACTTTCTTCCACTCCTCTAAAAGCTGCTGAGTGTGTTCTTAGTGAGGTGTATATGTTGGATATTCAACTGTATCAGTGTGGCAGAAGACACAATCTAGGGTTGGGAGAAATGTTAAGAGCTAGTTTTGCTAGGGCTTGTATTGAAGTCCATATTTCAGCCATAATATCACTATGTGCTTCTTAAGGTAAATGAAACATTTTAGCCAAAAAGTGAAGCGAAAATATTGATGTCTTGTTGTTGAAGAGTGCTCAAAGTGATTATTAGTTGATGAGGAATTAGTCTTGGGTCCTGCAGCAGTATATTGAGCTGAAGCACGGGGTGGGAGGAGGGAGTGTCTCCTCTCTTCTCCAGCAGGAAGCAACTGGACTCTCAAGTGATTTTAGAACTACTCTGCATCATTTCTGACTGGAACGTGGTCTTCCTAAAACGTGGTCTTGCTCCCACCTACTATTCTGAAACTCGTGATATTATGAAATGGATTTTTGACGAATTAGCTGTCTGGAATTCATAATCAATAATGTCTTGGTCTATTGCTTCTTGACTACAAAAAAAAAATGGGTTAATGTTGTGAAAATCTTTGGGTTAGTACTGACTACTCTTGAAGGTAAAAGGAAATAGTACAATTTCCAGTGCTTTGGCATAGGCGGCCTATCCATCATTCAAGCTTAACAATGTGACAAGAACAAAATACATTTGAAAGAGAGTGCTGCAAGTCTCTTGTATCTCTGCAAATGTAGGAAACTTGTAGATTTTATGTGGAGGGAACAAAGCAGGAATTGTGAATTGGGATAAAAATATTGTCAAGGTTTGAGATCTTACCACAATAACATGTTAAGAGTTCCTTATAGTGTTGGTGGGGATAACACACAAGACCATGCTCCACAGAAAGACTGCATTTATGTTGTTGATAGTATTTTTTCTTGGCAAAGAAGATACTCTGCATTCTACTTTTCAGATATCATATTTAAAAACTTTAGTCTGTATCTGTGTATATATAACAGAACCAATATTAAATAGACACAATTAAACTTCAAATATAAAATGGTAAACAGCAAACCCCTTTAAAGTCTGGCAACTGTGAACATATAAAAGCTAGAAGAAGAAATTAAAACCTGATACATTGTGGCATGAGCTCATCTTGTGTAGCTCAAAGATAAGATATACATGATCATATTCAAATATCCAGTACTTCCTTCTATGTAGAATGTTAGCTAATGTTGGAGTTGTAGCTTTACTTTTCTTTTAAGTGGCTTTAAATTACCATTTGCTTAATATAACCAAACTAATGCTTTTAAAAATCTACCTTTTCCCCCAAGGTAAAAGGATTCTTCAGCTCCTTGAAAGAAAATGGTTCTCAGCTCCGTTGTGTTCAACAAACCATTGAAACCATTGAAGAAAACATACGATGGATGGAGAAGAATTTTGACAAAATAAGACTATGGCTGCAAAAAGAAAGGCAGGAGTTGCTGTGACAATTTGTTTCTTGCCAAGTTTCATGAATTATATTGAGAAAAATTTTGTTCAATTTGAGTATTTTCAAACTAAAGATAGTTGTTTTGGCTACTACTGAAAATATTTTCTTATTTCATTTCACTTGATCATGTCTGAGAAAAGCTCCAATGTCTGTGGTTGACAGGTATAAACCCAAGTGCCCAGCTCCTTGCCACAGAAAAACCAAGGGGAGTCTTCTCAGTTTCTACTTCCTGCTTCTTTGTCAGTTATTCTTCAGTGTCTTTGTAAGACTATGAATAGTGAGGCACATTGTGCAGTGAGCACTTGGATCATTAGCCATGCTGGAAAATGGCTGTGCAGCAATCGTCCTGTTGACCTCTCTGACTCAACAGTCCAGCAGTCTCTCTTCCTAGTTTCACTTTTGTGTGCTGCCTTGCAGGGTCCAGTTCACCAGGCAGTTGTGCCTTCTAGGTTTTATTGGTGGATAGTGTTTGGGGTTGTGATCCATGAGGGAGTGCATAGAGGCATTTATTTCCTTGGATTTGACTCTGGCTGGTTTTTACAACCTTAAGTCTTACTTCTAAGAGGTGGCCTTTTTCTTTCCGACACAGTCTTACTCTATTTCTTGGCTCTAGTAACAACTTCCTTTTCATCCATTGGGGCATGGGGCAACAGTGGAAAGCTGCATATACCCGTCATGGTACTACTTGTCATCTTCACACAACCTACTTTCACATTTTTTTAGAAAAAAAAAAAAAAGTGCATTTAGAATCCTCCTTGGATAAGCCAAATATGAAAGCCACCTACCTCCTTTGGAAGCCTACTTTTAAAAATGCAGAGTTCATTCAGATTTGTATTAGAAATATCTTGTTTTAAGATATACTCAAGAGTCATTGATCCCTTAAGTAGGGAGTGGTGTTATAAATTCCTAAATAACTCATATTGGCACTTATTGCAAATAAATCATTGAGGACTCACTAATAAAGGACAATACGAATAATGTGTTTATATTAGTATAAGGAAAGAATTCTTTAAGTCTTACATAAGAATTTTTAGATGTACGGTGTAAATGACAGGAAAGATATCAACATATAGTGCTGTAATATATTATGGAATAAAGTGATTTAGGGTTCAGGGGCTCAATTGTCATATTTTCACTGGCCTGACAAAATACCTGAGGCAATCAGTTTAAATGAGGAAAGATTTTAGTTGATGGCTTGTTGGCTCTGTTATGATAGGCCTGTGGTGAGATATTATGGCTACGATAACAGGTATCAGGGAAGAATGCTTACCCAGTATTGGCCAAAAAACAAAAGAAGAGCCAGATAGAAGTCTGGGAACACAGTACATTGGTCAAAGCCATACTCCCACAGACTGGACCTACTTCTTCAATGGGACCTACCTCCCATTCAAGTATGAATTATAAGTGAATTGGTGACTGCAAATGGATTAATCCACTAAGGAGCTAAGCCCTCATAATCCAGTCTCCTCTCTCACTTCTAGCATTAGTTGGAAGCAATGACTTCAACACATGAGCTTGCTGGAGGGACACTTTATATCTAACCACAACAAACTTGTTTACAGTTCTATTTTTACATTAACTTCATCTGATGGCTTAAAAATAGAAAATGACTCACTGGTAAGTTTTTTCCCAGACTACATATAAAATAGAACACATAGCCAAGATTTTCATGTAAAATATTTTCCTTTAATTGCATTTTATATCAATTAATGAAACACAAATACTGATTTTTGTTTTGGTCACCTTCACTTTTGGAAAAGCCCATTTTCTAAACAGATAAAATATTACATACCCAGCAACTTTTAGTAATAAAAACCACCTGTTTTTTAATTCTAAGGCAATATCTGCAGTTGTTTTCACCTGACTAGTATTTTAAAAGTAAACAGTAGAAAAAAATAAAAAGGATTCCTTTAGATCCTTACGCAAGTCACCATGAGTTACCAGCAATCACTAAAGTCTTGGGAATATTCCTAATTAAAAAAATATTTTTGGTACCTTAAGTATATGTATGATTTTACAGACACTCTTTAGTTATGTATTTTGTCACATCATTTAAATATACTCTTATGTGTGCATGGAAGTTTGTATATTAGAGCCATAGCCTTGAAATCATATCTGCCAATGTCAAAGGTTTCACCACACTATTAGAAACAAAAAGAGCAAACAGACACATACACTTACAAGATACAAGGATTAGATAGCAATGAGTTCAAAACCAGGGAGTATGATTGTTTGAATATGCTTGGTGCATTCTGTGACCTTGTTGAAACAGAACGAGCTTGTTAGAAGAAGTGTGTTATTTGGGGCATGGGATTTAAGACACTCATCCTAGCTCACTGGAAGCCTGTCTTCTCCTGATTCCCTTAGGAACAAGATGTAGGACTCTCAGCTTCTCCTACACCATGTGTACCTGGATACTGCCATGCTTCCTGTCATGATGATACTGGATTGAACCTCTGAACCTGAAAGCCAGCCCCAATTAAATGTTGTCCTTATCAGAGTTGCCTTAGACATGGTGCTTGTTTACAGCAGTGCACCCTATCTAAGATAGAGGGTACATTCTTTTCTTGTCAGTGCCTTGAAAATAGAATAGTGACTGTCTTTTTATGGGCCTGGGAATTAAATACGTTTGTGGGTAGCATTTGAAATCTAAGAGGTGCATGCATGATTTGTAGAGAATAATTTTTGAGACAGTTAACCAAATATCATGTTCATTGTGGATATTATTAGTTTTGCTTGGTCTTACCTGTCCCCTGGGAATTACTAATGATTTAAGTTATATTTAGTAAAGTTAATTAAATCCTAGTAAAATCTTTACATTGATGGCAACAAAGGCTGTGATTTCTGGAAGCAAGAAAGCTGAAGTCTGTTTTATATGTACCTGACATCTTTTCCAGCATTCATTGCCAGGAAATAGAAATGGAACTATTTGTTTATCAATTTTTTATCAGTGATACCAGTGTAGTGTTCAGAAAAATCTGAGATACCATTCAAAGATGTTAAGATAATTTAACCTGCTTTGATATAGCAGATTTTAAATTTCAGTATATACATTGTATGTATATATGTATATATACACACACACATACATACATATACATTTTTGAAGAAGTTAATTTTTGTGTTTGGTAAATTTGACTTCTATAATGCCAGATGCTTTAGACAATGTGTCAAATGGCTATAAGCAAAGGATTACAATTTGGTTTTCATGTAGAGAGTGGAAACTACAGTTTAACACCATGGTAAACCAGGATAGTTCAAGCCATATGAGTATTATAAGAATCCCAACTTTATTGCTAAAAGTTGTTGCACAGTTGAACTCCAGTCTGTGCTTTGTTTTTCTGCTAGCTTAGTTCAAGTCTCAGTGTGTCTTCTCTGACCATGAGTAGAAGGCCTCATTCCTAGAAGAGTAGAGTTCAGGCAGGAAAGGAGATTGGTGCTCCCAAGGTTTACCTGGGTTATCTACCATTAATTTATTATTAGCATCTCCAAAGGAGTTATACACCCAATGTACAATATTTAATATTTGACTTAACAACCTTAACCCAAAGATATATCAAAGCCCAAGAAAAAGACATAATAAGAAATCAGAATACTGACAAAAGATGAGCATTATTTTTCAAATGCTAAAAAAATTAAGTGCAAACCAAAAATACTAATGAGATTTACAGGCACTGTGTATACAATGTGCAAATGTTTGCAAAGGTTTTCTGGGATTTTTGGTGTTTTAAGAAACTATCAAATACGTTTCTTACAAATATAAAGCTTCCTTATCCCACCTAAAGGCAATTAAAAATCTTTGAAGTTTATCAATACTCAATACAGAACACAGGTGAACCAGACAAATTCATTTTCGTTCTGGAAAAGAATAACAAATCAGTGTTTAAGATGTCAAAAGACAACAAATACCACTGTCTAGAAGCCACCCAGAAAAAAATTCTCATTAAAGCCTTTGTTCTTCAAAAGTCACCATCCACCAGCTGAAGAATTTCTATTCAGATACGCTGAAAATAAAAAAAAAAAACAGTATGAGTGACTGGGTTATTAATATAAGATCATCAGTTACTCTGAGAAAATGTGGAGTAGCTCTGGTTGGTGTACTCTCTGCACTATAGGAAATGATCCTGGTAAGAGAGCTGAGCCATTTAACCCATAGCTTTCTTTGAAAAAAAAAAAAAAAAGCTTTCTTTACATTTTCATTCAGCATATGTATGCCAAAGTAAGCAAGTGGACATCAGAGGGCAATTTCCATGAATCTACCATGTGCATCCCAAGGACGGAGCTTAGATTAGGATTGGTGGAAAGCATCTCTACCTGCTGAGTCACCATGCCAATCCTATTTCTTTTCTTTTTTTTTTTGTTCTTTCATTTTTTTAAGCCTTTGTTGAACATGCAGTTTCATTTTATGACTTTTAGGAAGGCCAGAACCCACCTATTGAAGAATGGGTCAGAATCTGTCATTGTTCTTCCAGAATTAAGACAGAAAAAAAAAAAAAAAGATCAGAAAGTTAAAAAGCCTTTATTCCCAAACTGCGATTTTCACCATTCATCATGTATTTGTATTTCAGATATAAATTAATGCCATTTTGCTACAAATACATTGCAAGAAAAATTTGTATAATCACTCAGATTTCAAAGATTCAACTAGCTTGTGGTGTATGATTTTCTTTAAAAGTCTGAGTACTTTAAAGAGTTTTGGGCTTTTTGTTTTGTTCTTTTCAAGATCGAGTTTCTTTGTGTAGCCCTGGCTGTCCTGGAAGTCACTCTGTAGACAGTCTGGCTTTGAACTTAGCAGAGCTCTGCCTTGCTCTGCCTCTGAGTGATAGGTTTAAGACTGTGCACCACCACTGCCAGGCCATTTAATGAGTTCTTAATCATATAATTAAGAAAAAAGTTTTAGTAGCACAATAATCCCTGTAGTGCTTGTTAGGGAATGGAGTACTTTGAACTTTGCAACCTGTGGTTCCTGAGAACAGGAACACGTATGAAATACTCAAGAAATAAACTTCCCTGTCACTCTCACAGTGTCAGTGCTACAAGGCAGTTAACGCTATTTACAATGGAAGCTCAAGTTACCAAATTTGTAAACTTTATCTTGAATCTTCATCAGTCTTTGGCTTGGGCACTTCCTCTGTCTTCTAAGAGGAAGCAAAGCTACAGTGAGTGCTTTCATTTCTAAATCAGCACTGCACAACTAACCGGAAAGGGAATGAGAAAATGAAGTACTGGATATGGACCAAACAGAAGACAGACAGGGTGGCCTAGTCTATATTCTTCTTCATTTGACACAAACATGTTCTATTCTTTCCACTTAGTTTTTAAGTTATAAGCTGTAAATAGCCTTAATTAATCCTAAATTTCTCACTTTAAACTTATGTTTTTAATGAACCCTATACAATTTTTCAAATGCATAAGTATTGCTGGAATTAGGATGACAGTGTCTCATCACCCCACAGTGACCCTATCTTTTTTCTGTACTGGGAAGAGGCTGGCTGGCTAGTCTCCACTATGTAGGGCAATTATACTTCCTACTTCTTGTGAATGGATTGATCAAGTATTTTTATAATTAATGAGTTGATCAGGTTCTTTAAAAATTATAATTAATTGATAAGGGATTAAAATTTTGACTTATTTGAGATATAATGTTCTTGTATCCTGTGATAAAATCAATTGCATGAAGCTTTCATTACTTGTTCTGAAGAAATACTGATTTAATTAATGAGAAAATAGGCCATAAATTTGAAAGTGACCAAGGAAGGGTACATGGGACAGTCTGGAGAAAGGAAAGGAAAGGAAAGGGAAGGGAAGGGAAAGGGGAGGGGAGGGGAGGGGTGGGGAGGGGAGGGGAGGGGAGGGGAGGGAAGGGAAAAATGATTTATTATATTATAATCTCAAAAATAAAAGAGATGTGGATACAATTAGACTGTTCAGTTGGTACTTTTAATTTTCATTATGGTCAGAAGATTATAGCTATGTAAGTTATGTAAGTTGAACTGACTTCTAGCCACTAGATTTTAGTCTACTTTGCATAACTATATGTTATATGAATTGTATATTGCAGGCCCCTCAAAGATCCAGGTGTAAAATGCTTGGCCTTGGGGTGGAACTTCTGAGGGGTACTATAGCCAGACCTTATATGAAGTCCTTAGGCCATTGCGGGTATGCCCCTCTCTTACTCAGGGTTGTGGCACCTCATCTTTTCTGTATTTCCTGACTTACGGGATGATCAGTTTGACCCCTAAAGACTCCTATTATAAATCATTGCCTCACTAAAGAAACAAAGCAATGATAAGATAAAGCTTTTAAAACCATGGACCAGACTCAATCTCTTCTCCTTGTAACTTAATTATCTCAAGTATACAGTGACATAATGCTGGCCATTGTATGAATTGTCTCATTATTTACTAATCTCCCTCTCAAGCTCTGTCCAAAAAATACAATGAGCTGGAAAAACTTTAATATTTTCTCTAATTGTATAAATTACCATCTATCTTAGCTCTGTTACCTAGACATTGGCTAGAGTCACCTGAGAAGGGATTCTCAGTTCAGAGGTTGTTCAGTTCAGACTTGTCTGTGGGTATTTGTTAGCATTCCTTCTAGGCTCTGCCCAACAATTACTTAGAAACAGCCAGGTAGGAGCCTGACTTGCTATAAAAGGACTGTTTGGCTTCTTTCCAACTCTCTCTAACCCCTCTCCCTTTCTATGTCCTCTCTCAGTCTCCCTATCTGTGTCTCTGTCTCTCTCTCCCTCCCTCCCTCATTCTCTGTTCTCTGTCTCCTTCCTTCCCCCACAATGTCCATGTGTTCCTCTTCTCCTCTTTCTCTCTTTCTCTCTTCTCTGTCTCCCTGTCTTTCTCTCTCTCTCTCTCTCTCTCTCTCTCTCTCTCTCTCTCTCTCTCTCTCTCTCTCT